TAATATAAATAATAATAATATAAATAATAATAATAATAATAATAATAATAGTAATAAAAATTCACAATTTAGGAACTTACGTCACACTTTGCCCGCTCGGCCATTGGCTGATAGCCTCCGTCTTGTTAGACCGCCGGGTAGTTGTTAGGGTTACTGATCAGTCTCACAGTCCTCCTGTGAAACCAATCAATGTAACCCTCCTCAGTCTTTAGGAACTGCTCCACCGGTTGATGTGGGAGGACATTTTGATCTCTATGTTCGGCCCAAGTCTTCCCAAGCTCCGAATGAAAGACGGTCCAATCAGTATATGCCCTCCCAGTCATTCCCTAACCTCGGTGGAGTGTCTCCCATCGGGCCACATCCCTAGTGAACGGAGCTGGAGGGATGGATTGGCGACATCCAAACTGACGGAGGACCCTATCAGGCTCGTGGGACTCACAGATGTTCCAACAGAAGATGGGCCCCTTGTACATCTAAATATGTTGATCTTCTGTACACTGATCCGGGAGAGTAGACGAATCCTCGAGGAACTGGACATAAGGCATCCAATCGAACTGAAAAAAGAAAAGAAAAAAAAAAGAAAAAAAATTGAATTAAGAATTACTAAGAATTAAGTTAGCAAATATTTGAAAACAATAAAAAACAAAATATAAGTTAATATATAAAACTTAAGAATCTTACATCCGTCTCTCTCAGCCATGTCAGCTGATCCGGATAGCGGCTGTTCCCTTGGCTATTTGCGTCATATTCTTTCTTCCCACCCACCTTAAAGATCACAAAAAAATAAGTTTGTAATTTCAAAATTTAATAATGAAAAAACTTAATATTTATTAAATATAAATAAATGTTCATACCTTGCTCCTAAGGGACAACCAGGTACAGACTGAAAGCGCGTGGACTTCATTGTAGGGCGAATGCGAGGGATGCGTTCCCATGCCCAAACCTACACATATCGACCGACATATGCATTTTTTGTATTAGATATTAGTCAGAATAAACAAAAAAATGAAGTTTTAAATAACATATAAAATAAATGTACCTGGAGCAATTGGACACAGCCCTTCATCCAGCCTTGCCCGGCCTCGAAGGCTGTGCACAACGCTCTGTACAATCCGGCGAGGACCGCTGCACCCCAACTGGGTCCAGGCTTCGAGATGATCCTTTGCCAATGCGGAATCAAATTCCATCCCACCTGCGGCCACGTGTCAGGATTTCCAATTGGAGAAAAATTCCATTTAGAAAATTGATCAACCCAGTTCGTCGTCCAAAAGTGGGAATCGTACAACAACTTCAATTCATCAGCCCGGTAACGACACACGGCTAATGCATGAGTGCATGGTTTCCGATATGTCTGCCACTTCCGACATGTACACTTCTTCTGCTCATAATGAACCTTAAACCTGTTTTTCACAATTATTTATATATATAAATAAACACACAAAAAAAAATCATTTCAATGGAAAAAAAAAATAATAGAAAATACATACTTGTTTTGCCCCCTTCCACTGGCGCATAGACCAGTTATGATCGTGTATTGGGATCCGTCGGCGTCCACACATTCCACCTCGTGAGTCGCCGCTGTCCTCTCCAACTCCAGATAGGCGGCATAGAGGTGGGTAGGAATTTAACTCCGACAGCTTCTGGACTTTTTTTGTTCCTGTTGGAACAAATCCAGAGTCTTGTACATTGTCGCATGTACTAATGCTCTGCAGGGCAGGAACCTAACACCTTTGAGGACGTTGTTGTAACTCTCTGACATATTGGTTGTCAGAGTGCCCCATCGACGTCTGTTATCTTTGTACAGTGTCCATTTTTCCAAAGGAATTTGGAAAAGGTAACTGTATGCTTTCGGGTGACATTCCTGCAGTTGCTGTCGAGCATGCTCAAATTTGCGACGAGAACACAATGAACCCAACCCCCAGCACAGAACCGGGACTTTCTTACTCCGATACCTTGAAACCACGTTGCTCCGGAGGTGTCGAAGGCATATCCGATGAAATGCATGGAGTTCGTGCCAAGCCTCCAGTAAATCAACGGCACTCAATATGTCGTTGTCCCTGTCGGAAAGAAGACATATCTGCTTGTCGGAGAGGACATGATTGCGCAGATGTGTTAGGAAAAAGGACCAGCTAGCCGTGCTTTCTTCGTCCACAATCGCATACGCGACTGGCAATAGACGCTTATTCGCGGTCTGTGCTATGGCAACAAGCAGCTTCCCCTTGTACGAACCTGCTCAGTTGGACATATGTTTTTTTTTATCAGACACTATTGTATGTTAGAAAATAGAAAATACATTTGCAATAAACAAGTACATTCCCCTTATACGAACCTCGCAGGTGCGTGTCGTCGATGCTAATAATCGGCGGGCAAAGATGGAAGGTTCGAATGGCGGGCCCGAACGCCCAGAAGACAAATTTGAATTCTCTGTCTCGAGAACGACGAGCCATTTCCCCATCCTGCCATTCCCACTCAACGACTGAAAATTATAAAAAGGTACCCATAAATAAATAAATAAATAAATATAGTTACAAACACGTAAATACATTGGTAATTAATTTTTGTTTACTGGGGGAGTTGTGTGAAGTTCGATTCCCACGCGCCATACAGACGATCGATGGCTTTTTTTCTCCCGTGCCACGCCTTCTTGTAGCTCACATCGACGCTCCAGGCACTTTTTACGTCGGTCTGGACCATTTCCACACTGTAGGTCACCTGCTTCTGAATCTTAGGCAACATAAGATTTGAGATCATGGTGGTCGTCACATTCTTGTGGTCATTTCTCTCGACCACCTGCATGCAAGTGTGCATGTCGGTCCATTCGGTTACCTCCCACATGTCGTGCACCCGTGGATTAAGACTCACCCGAGCCTTCCACATACATGGTACACCTTCAGACGATCTGCACACAACTTTGAACGACTTCTTGTTGGAATCTTTTGTCCGGACCGCCCTAAAATTCTAAAACATTCCATGTCATAACACCAGTCTGAGCTTCTTCCTTGGTACGAAAAACTGTACCCAAACGGATAGTCTCGACATGCCCATTCCAGAGTGGCAAGGCATACTCGTCCCTGTCTACACACGACGGGTCCCACTCACCCATCTCGCGATATACGTGGAGGCCTTCATTTGGAAAGGGGTGTTCTTCAATGAATTCTTGTTCGCTTTCCTCATTAATTGATTTGTCCGATTCGGTTTCCGAGGTCTCATCAGTTAAATCGTCTTCACCGGGACTGAAATCTTCATCTCCAACAATTTCTTCTTCAATGTCCGATCCTCTCATGGTAAAGCTCGTCCCTTCGCCGAAATTACTCGTCCCTTCACCAAAATTACCGGCATGCGTACTCTACGTACCCTCACAACCAAACACTCCCCCGTAACCATATGATGGCGTAGGATCCTCAACATGTGTAACATGTGTGTTTGCTTCCAACACAATATACAAAAACACAAAGGACATAGGAGGATAGTAGTAAATCCACGAAAGAATACTATCATTATTCAGTCTTGCGGGAATAAACGAACCATCCGGTTGTTTGATCATCAAAGTAATATCCGAAATGGTCCAACTATCACGAAATCCACCATTTTCGTAAAT